TTAAGCTGAGCTTTTACTAACTTTCTGAGGCTGGAGTTTATGGAGGATGGTACCGTAGTCGTCAAGGACTTTCTCATGACCATTTTCATGAGTTGCAATTTACTCTTCAATTACCACCGCAGAAAACAAGAAACAAAAAAAGATAAAATGGCACCACCAATCATCCTGGAAAGTTGGAAATACTAGCTTCAGTCTCAAGTTCTTGCTGCAGTATTTGATGAACCTCATCAATTTATCCAGAAAAAGTTAAGAAACTGATGGGAAAACTGAAGAGGGGTTAACAAAAATAAATGCTTTAAGTGGTCCAATACTTGTGTATGGCCGTAAATTACAAAGGAAGGGAAAAAAAAAAAAAAACAAAAGGACTATCATCAAATTTATTGGCGCGTGTTTTTAAGTAATTCTTTTTTTTTTCTTCTTTAAGATTTAATTGATTGAATTTATGGATCGACTGTAGATCATTTAGTCACAACCACTCCATACTATTCATAGAGAATTTTCTTCAAGATTTAATACGATATATCCTGTGTGCCAGATAAATAACATGATGATTAATTACATATTTCAATGTATATCACGTATCTGTTTTAATTAAAAACTCATGGATTTTAACAATAATCTTGTTTTGTGTGGATTACTTTATCTTGTCACTAAGATTGGTTATAGTACGTGTGTTTCTTTTGTCTTCCCGATTTAATTTTTTTTTTTTTAACCAATCACCTTTTTGGGGAAAGTTTGGTACACAATTCTCCACATTTTAAGATAGAAGACTAGAAGTTCAAAGTTTGATGCAATTCAGTATAGGATGCATGGCATGTGCCTAAAATGAAATCCAACAAGTATATGTAGGGAAAGGCATCATATTTAAAAGTAATTTTTTGAGAATTTTTAACTTTTCAAATTTAGAGTTCCGAACATCTAAACTTAAAGGTCTGTTTAGATCACCATTATTGTTTTCTAAAAAAAATTTTAAATTTTTTGTGAACAAATTTTCTATTTTCTTTTTTTTTACTTCAAACATATCAAATAGATACAAATGTATTTTTTTAAATATAAAACTCCAGAAAATTACGCATTTCCATCTCTACTTTCAGCCACTGTCACGACTTCTAAAAAGCTAATGCAGGATTTCTGTCCAAACCCTTGGAAGTTGGGCCTATGTGTCTGTAATCTAATATCTATTCTCATATATAAGTGTTTCAGACCCCAAAAAATGGATTGGGGCTAATTCACAAGGTACATGCTAAGATACTGTTTATTAGGGCTTGAAGATTCATGATAGCGGATTCTTGTGTTGAAAAATGCAGAGTTTTAGCAATGCCGCCATGTGATGCGATCTAGTACTTGCTATAATGAAGCATGAATCATTGACCTCTACAAAAGTTCATTAAATGGCTATCTATATATAGTGTATTTGGTTTACGTATTATTTCCGCCTTATTTACACGCACTCTCGCTTGCTTGAATCATCAACACATTTTTCAATTATCTTTTTATCTCACATACATCACATCAAAAAAATGTTACAGTATTTCTCGCTCCTCGGCAGCGAGCCGTGACTTGTTTGTTGGTTGTACTGTATAATTCTTATATTTACTAGAAATTTTGCCGTACCCACGTGCCCATGTTTGAGTCTTTATAAGTGTCCTTGTATTCTAATTTTAGATGATTCACGAATTAGACACTTAGATACATACACGAATCCGGCACCCGTACATGAATCCCGAGCAACATGGATGACCATGGTTTCTGATAATGAGAGCAATAGAAAAAAGATCAGTAGCAACCTCAGCTCTTATATTCTTCGGATTAAGGAGACTCAGTAAAGGGGTATCATGATATTGTATTAGCTTTTCTGATTATAGAATATTAATGATGAGTAATGCATCAGATATTTTCTTCAAGAAGATTCAATTGTGTGCACAACCAAGTTGCCAGACCCTGATCATTGACCAAAAAAAGAGAAGATGAAAGAAAGGAAAAGGTAGTTAGGTAGATCAAAGTCTCTTTACTGCAATACCACAACTGCCATGACCATAATCAATACTTTAACCTGCGATGAGAGAATGGGCGCCGAAGCCAATAATAACATGACAACCTAACATGCGCCAACAGCTTAAACTAAAATCGTCTTCACCCCCGTCTCTTGAAAACTTTCTTTTAATAGAGTAAGGTTAAATAGTGAGTTATTTTAAGCTCATCCTATCCTCCGCTTATTTCATCGAGTTGGATCATCAGTTTCTTGCGGTTTCTGAAGATTGGAGAATGACGGAACTTGTAGTAACTATTTTAAATGAGACCAATAGCATATACGTACTGGCTGTAGGTTGTTTTGGAGCCTGGTTTTCTCTGACATGTCGCAGGAGATCCACAAGAAATTATAAAGAACATGCATGCCCTTGCCTGAATGTGCATTCAATATATTAAGTACATCTCAAACCTGCCACATTGATTCCATTCTGGGCAAAACCACACGAAACGTTGCTACTTATCTAGCTGTATAATTAACGAAAACTGATTAGAATTATTCTGTAAATTCATTTAAGGTACTGATTTAACAGAAACAGTTCATTTCTTTATTGTTAGCCATACACCAGCTGGTGTGTACGTCCTTCACAGGGGCCTTCACTGTTTCGTATTAAAGCGCCTGCAATTTGATTCTTGTGTCATGCACCATCAAGGGCAATGTATAGCATGAGACAGGGAGAAAAGTAGTGGACCATATCAAATGATTAGTCAATTTTATTTCACCTCCTGCAAGGATAATGTGTTGCTTCTCCTAGTAATTTATTTATTTATTTATTTTGACTTTGGTACGGTGAGTGATTTTGATTCTAATTATCACTACGAGTGAGGTAGGCTTCTAGCACCACACAGATCACTTACGCATTAGCAATATTTCATTATGCCCTTTAATCCTCACCTTGATGCACTTAGAGGGAGGAGGGACCTGAAGAGGCCAAGAAAAATTCGGAGAGGATTGAATCACCGTCATCCCAAATGGATACGTAGGCACCCGCTGATAACATTTTTAGAAAAATCTAGATTTTAGAATGTAGGTAGGGATTTAATCCCTCAACCTACACTCAAATAAAACTTTAAAACTCTTTTGATGGTTAACCACTCAATGAGTAGTTAGTTGGATGTTAGACAAAATACCTAACGAAGAAGAACATCTCACGTTATTATCATGGATAAAGAACTAATCCAATCTATTTCACGTAATTTCCATATTTGGGGTGTTTGATGATTGTCATCAAATGGAACAATAAAGGAATCAATGTCTAAATTTCATGTCGTGGCTATATGTAAAACAGTAGTCGGGGCAATCATATATTGAAGTGAAATCTAGTATATACGTTTACCGGGTATCTCAATGCACCTAGCTAACATTTCATGACCCTATCATCTTTCAATCTAAACTTACGTCCACCACACAAATAAAGTAGACTAGTAATGTATAGTAATTCTTTTCATTTATTCTCTTCCTTTTGTCCGTTTAGGTTAGGGAAGAATGTTGATGCAATTTTTTGTTTTTTGTTTTTGTTTTTGTTTCTTTCATCATTGTTTTCAAATGAAATGCGTAGAGAATCAAATCTAACCAATGTTTTGAAAATCAGATCGATCAGCCGGTTCGATTAGTTGAACCGCGAATCGGCCATGCCTCCGGTCCGATTCAACTAAAAATCCAAAGAATTAATTGAACCTGTCAAAATCAGAAGGTTCAATCGGTTTTTATTAAGTATTTATTTTTTAAAACAAATATTTTAGTTTTATTCAAAATTTTTAATACTAAAAAGAATAAAAAATTATTAAATCTTTGAATCGGAGTCGAACCGATTGAACCGTGAACCGAAAAGTTTTTGGATTCACTCTCCAGTCTGGTTTAAAAACATTGAATCTAACCGTATCTAATAGGACGGACCGTAGTAAATGATGGTGGGCGCTTTGATAAGCAGTAAGAGGTGGTTGGAGTTTTATCACATTCTGAGAGTACATTCAAGATAGTCTCATCTAGTGGAAATGGAATGTCAGAGAAATTTTAGTCGACAAGAGGCATTTAATAAGATTTGGATCCGTTTTCATTTATTAGAAAAGGATATGATCATTTTAAATTTGATTCATATTAACCCTTATTAATAAATAAAAGCACGTGTCATACATTCAAATATATACTACGAAAAAATGAAATGAGAATCTATTAAAGAGGAGCCAAGTCCGCACTTAATATTACACCAAAGGAATTTCTTTTATCCCGAACGAGTAAAAGCATGATACGAGGCTTAATAAGTCCAAAAAGGATGTGTTTAGTACCTTAATTCACACTCTACCCATCGAATGAAGGCGGCTTTAAGCTGCATTGAGTAATTCATCCATCAATCAATCACAAATCTTCTTATGTTCTCCCTCGCTATAGACAGACTAGAGAGTGGGAGACGGGGACTTTTGAATACCTAAAAACTAGCGAATTAAGAGGATAGAGACAGCAGCAGTATACAGTAACTTTGGAATTGATGAATAATAGCAGGATCATGTGTTAGTAAATTTGACGAAAGATTTAGAGGGAGGTAGTTGGTGCAAAACCCCACCATTAATTGTCCTCTTCAACCATCATCGAGCGCTCAAAAATTTCATTGGGTGATAAAATTAACTGCAAGTCTTGATGCACTTCAAAATCTCTAAAAATTCAGAAAGGAAAAAAAAATTCATCTGAAGAGGATGGGGGATCAAAATATAATTCATGAAATTCTTGGCTTGCAATGCAAATGTGTGAACCCGTTAAAAGTTGGAAGTACTGAATTGCAGCTAAGATAACCGGGGCAAATAAGCGTAAGAAATGCAATGTAAATAAGTAAAAGTTGGGCTGGTGGCCAGGGGAAGGGAATTAAAGCCCTTCCTCGCTGCTTGGTCAGGGAATCGATCCCTTGGCCATGCAGTCGGGGAGGGGGCGGAGGGATGATAAAAAACTCCTGTTGGAATTTGATCGGCAATGATAGCCGTTGCTGTGTTTTATAGCGGCTCCGCTATAAGAAAATTTTCATTTCCTCAGTAAATACAAACTATTCAGAGATTTCCACAAGTCATCAAGATACAAACTGCTGTTGCATTATGCTACTCTTGCGACAGACAAAATTGACGGCAAACCAGAAACAACCACAAAAAATTGAGACTCTATAAATGAGGCCTTTATAACTTAAGCACAATAAAATCAATATCTAAAGAATCTCAAAAGAAGAAAACAAGAAAAGGAAAAAGAGAAAATTAAAAAGAATCTATCTAATGGGGCTGTCGACCACAAGCTGACAAACCCCAGTATATGGCACCTCAACAAAAATCATGCCTTCCAATCTGTTCGTCTCGCGCTTCAGTTGAAGTTGGAACCAGTGACCAGAATCGCGTGTAGCGTACAACTTTTGAATGACCTTTATCTGTATCCTTGATATATGAAGATGGTTGCTCAATGAAGAGAAGCTCACTTCACCTTATCATCCACCGGGCTCGAGTATTCTGTCCCATTTTCGGCAGAAGTCACCTCAGATGATGCACTTGACGACACCCCACCGTATTCACTTGCTCCGCTGCGGAAGCTCTTTGATGCAAGAGGAGGATTTTGCTGTGTATTGGTATTCCCATGCCTTTGACCTTCCTCTGCCAATTTTTTGAGCAGGTTCATGACAGTAGGAAGGAACTTGGTTGATAACGAAAGCAGCCCAGGTAGCTGTCAGAACCAAGGATCTATTAACTTCAAATTCTTGAAAGCATTTTAGAAGATGAAAGCAACAAAATCAAGGTAAAGGTAAATTCCAAGTATGCCACCATAAAGGAAACATAAACTACCAACCAAATCCTTTCTCGCAATCTTCTACATAGTATAGAAATTTCCATCATCCTTGATCAGTGAAGGGCAGGGAGAGGAGGAGGAGGAGGAGGAGGAGGAGAGGGGGGGGGGGTTCACAGACCATGATATGCAAAACCACAAAAAGACAGACTCTATGTATCTTTAAAACATGAGAAATTCAACTTAAACTAGGCAAGTTCTAGGAGGCTAGAAGTGTAGTAAAGCCAGATATAAAGACATGCAACATGTCCACCATCAAATGCCAGCTTCATAATGCAAAAAACCTTATGAAGCATGTGCTCCGCAAGGGCAAATGGATTGAGTTAACGGTAATTTGAGAAATAGATGTACATGTTAGAAGCATAATTGGGGCACATCTAAAAGACCATGATAATAAATCAATGAGCCATGTCACACAAGTCATAACTTAATTAAATCCTTGAACTCTCAAACAAATAACAAAAGTTTCAGGACTGCAGAGCATTTGACACTTACAGCACCATTACGGAATTCTCCAGAGACGTCTAGTTGCACCCAAAGAGCTTTTACAAGAAGGAAACCAACAAAGATAACACCTAGATATAATGGATTTCTGCCACCACCAAAAAAAAAAAAGGTTTTAAGCGCAATCCGTTGAACAAGGAAATATAAGTCAAGTCATTCAATCCCTTCCAGTAAAGATATCAAGAAGAAAAGGGAATACACTGCCAAAAGTAGATAAAAATGCATGCACCTCAAAGATAAATGTCAAGGTGAATACCTTAATAGGGTCATAAACTCATTGAACCCTAACACAATCATGGCGACAATAGCCCATGGAGGTGGTAACCAGTTGTTATTTCTCCTGCTAGCCTCCTGAAGTACAAGAAACCATAAACTCTTAAAGTAAATAGCAACAATCAAGGATGTCTGAATCACAAGTAAAGAATATCGCAGAAAGGTTCAATAGCAAATGGATACATATTTGCAAATGCAAAATCAAGGAACACGACATAAAAAATTAGTCATGTAGGCATATAAAAAGTACAGCAACACATTTAGCATATATCATCTCTTCAAATTTTAGTCAACTAAACCACATGATCTCCCACACAGATAAACAAAAGAGAGAACCATCAGAAGATAGTATAAGCAGAATCATGCCTGAGCAGCAATGGCTTGGGTTACAGTGTACTCAGTCTCTGTTTTAAATTGCCTCCAAATTGATTTGCACTGTACAGGAGTTATCAGAGTCTTCGTTGCTGAAACCTGGGTGGGAAATTCAATTAAATCACATCTTTAGGCAAATTGAGGACGAGACACTATTCTAAAGACCACAATCACATAGAAACAAACACTGCAGTTGAGGAATCAAGACAAAAGCACATTGTACAGATATTCTGGTCTTATACAAGCTATGCAATTACATCAACTACTGATGTTTCTATTCCAGCTCTAGAAAACATGAACTTAATGTCTTGCAACACTAAACAACTTCCTTCTATAACCCAAAAAGTTACTTCCAGACAATGTGGATGTGGAAAAACTGGGTACAAAGTGGAGCAAATACGGGTTAACACTGAGAGGACCTGAAAATAGCAATTTGTGGTATAGAGCCAACTTCACTCTAAAGATTATATGCTCGAGGGAAACCAAGAAAAGATAAAATATCTTATACAATTAAATCAGCACAAGACCAAAAAGTTCTGAGAAACCAAGTATCCTATTTGAGTTCAGATGGCTACCTCATCCCAAGTGCTCGAGGCAAGAGGGTCAACTGATGGAGAACTCTTGTTGGTAGACGCACTACCTTTACTATCCACTAAAGCAAGCGACAGAGTTTTTTCAATAGAATCAGCCTCATCATCCAAACGTACTGCCGCCATAACAGATAATAACTTCAGAGACTGCAGATTAAGGGGAAAAAATTATAAAAGTTTAAAAGAAATTGAAATGTTTTCTGGGGACATTAATCCAAAGTAGTTTTTTAATGAAGCATGTCCTACAGAAGAGCGAGCAGTTTTCGTGATTGCTCGAATATCTTCCTTCCCAGTCCAGACCCGTGGCATTGAATCCGAATCATGGCTAAATAATGTTGAGAACCTGTAAATTAAGTGAACTTATTAGTTTCTAGTAAAAGAACTCTCGGATCATTTTCAAGACATGTTGACAATTAGAAGTTACCTGTCCTTCATACGTATTAAAACCCTTCCAGCTTCTTCTTTTGCCTTTGACTCAACCACTCCTCTGGCATAATCTCTCAACTTTGAGAGCGTTTTTTCCTTCGATTCTTCGTCCATTTCAAACCCAGAAAGCGCAGAAGAAAAGCCAGAGAGAGCTGTTTCAGTCTCACGCCAAAGGAGTTTTCTGATTGCTGGCCATGTATCATCATTAGCACCATCCAATAAAGCCTCAACTGGTCCAGATAATGCTTCATTCAATTTTGTCTGCAAATATATTGTTACAAGGCAATATTATGTACGATTAAATTAACATCTGAGTGCAGATACCAGATTAAAAGTACCCAAATTACATATTCAAAAGTAGCAATTATAGAAATTGTAAGTCTAACTATTATAAATCCACAAAATAGCAACTAAACCATTGACCCAGAAACCATTGCAACAATCGGCATATCAGGGATCCAATGCCATAGAATTTCTCCAACACTTAGCCTGATTTCCTTTCATCAATTGCATGGTTGCACAAGTAGCGATTAACAGTGCTAACACACATTAATTTTGTAATACTAGAAGTCAATGTTGTAACACACATTAACAGATCGATTGTAACACCAGAAGTCAATGGCAAATTACAAAATGTTGTTACCTCATAGACAGTGGTCAATTCAGACAGCTTCGCTACACGAACTGAAGCAACATGTGCATCCATGTCACGCCGCAGTTTGTCCCTTAATTTGGACGAGTCCCAGTTTGCTTGGTCAATGATGGCATCTGAAAAGTTACAAGTTAGCGTCCAACTTAGATCGCAACACATCACATCACGAGTTCCTATACGCACATGTGGATATTACTTTATCTTCAAATGTATATACGCAAATACACAGATGGACCTCTAAGCAAAATATATCCCTACATATGGATGTGCAAGCTCTCTGAACAATAAAACCAGCTAAAATAATTCAGTTCTTTAGTCAATATAAACCTCCATAACTAATTAGCTTAGGTACCAACAACATGCTTTTACAAACTAGTAATTTTACAAGAAAGCAACAATTTATTACATATATTTTCTTTCAAGGCATCACATTCGTTTGGTATCATAAGTCTCAGTGCAGTGGCTGATCACAACTTAAAGATGTAGACCGAGAGTCACCAAATCTTATGTAGTGATGAATTCCTACCACAAACCTTTCAGAATTGTGCTACAGCACTCAAGGATACGAGGCATAAAACAATCAGTTTTCCACATTAGAAAGTGCACTTTTCATTGTAGACTATGCACAATGCAATTCAAATGATTTGACCATACCAGCGCAAGCTTCATCAAACTGTGACATAAAAGTCTCAGAGCAGTGACGAGCAGCCATGGCAAACCCTTTTCCCCCATTCAGTGCTTCGTCAAAAGCTTCTTTAAATCTCTCCAAAGTTCCAGAGCGAATGTGGCTCAACATCAATTGGTAGGCAGGTTGGACAAGCTGAAAGACCAGAAAACAATAACCATGAGCAAATACAACTTATCTTAAGAAAAATTTCTCCTCCGCTTTTTGCGGACAAAAGTAGTCAAACATCAGATGCTTTAGACTGCGTCTGAAACAGAATGTACTTTAATTTCTAGCCTCAAGTCAAACAAAGGCATTCAGTTTGGACCAATTGGAAACAAAAAGAAACAAAAGACTAGCTTACTTCCCTCTGTATTTTCCCCTCCTTACTTGCATAGCTTATAAAACTCTAAATAACAGTATGAAAAAGAAGCATTACTTGCAGCAGTTTTTCTTCCAATTGCTTTCTTTTTCCAGTTCTGACACCTTCATCAAAATAAGTGGCTTCCACATCATACCTAAAATAAATTAGGTTCAGAACGCAAATATATAACAAGAAAGATCTCAATATCTATCACAAAAATTCACCAACTGAAAACTAATTCCAAGTTTGAAGCTGATTACTTTGACCACAATACAAAATAGTATTAGCCAGAATTTTGTTGTTGCTACTGTCAGAGAAATGAAAATCAGATCAATGTTTTTGTTTTTCAACGGAAATGAATATGATGATCAATCCACAAAAGTAACAGAAAATATTCCAAATTCCTCAAAACATTTAATGTTTGATGCACCCAAAAAAAATGAAGATCTAGTGCCTAAGCACAAATAAATTTTCCATGCCTACCTTTGTGATAATTTTCCAAAACAAGAAGTTAACAACTATCCAAGAGGAACAAATCCACATAAACTCCAAATTGCCAATGAAATATCATAAAGTTCCACTATCCACCAACACCATTGGTGCTCTGGATTAAAAAGTAACCGATTCAAAATAAATCCTCCTAAAGTTTCCCATGATCTGGAAAAAGTTAATCTTCAGTGTGAAAAAATTTGATCCAACAATCAAAAAGTCAGAAAATTCACTAAAAGAACCAGCAGTATGTTAATATCAGATGCAAACGTAATAGTCATACCTCAGCACATTGCTGAAACTAGTTGTACTCATCCAACAACTCAGGAGTAACAAAAGTAGGAAAAAAAACATCTCGCACACCATGCAAGATACATAATCTCATGTAGTCAGACACGCATGCAGGCATACATCTGCTGAGACATGCAGACATGTTAGCACAAGAATTTTACTTACTCTGATAGATAAGTGTCAAGAATGGTACTCAGCTTCTTTCCAAATCTTGGTACTTGATGAGATTGCACAGCTGCTTCTAGTTCACGCCATTCCTACGATAAATGTACAGCCAATTGTAGCAAACCAGTTGACAAATTTAACACTAATCCTCAATAAGAAACTATTACTAAAATATATGCCCTAAAAACCTTCAAGCAAATTACACACCTCATTTTCTAGAAAAGAACCACATTTTTCATTGGCAATCTCCTCACAACGCACTGTAGCCACCATGACCTGCAGAAAAAGCAGAAGAATGCATGTAAACTAAATAAGACAGTTAATTGAAGAGCAATTTCAATTATTGGATTTTCACATTCTTACCTTGTGGGCAGGAAGGTCAAGGTCCTTGTTCTCCTTGATAATCTTCCAGATCTGTTGAGCACTGAAGGAAAAGCCTGATGCTGGAACTACAGCCCGTCTATCTCCAGCAAGTCCACCAGGAGCAATTGAATGGAAAAACCGCTGTCTTAGATTGGCCACCTTCTCACCAGCAACCAAAGGAAAAAGCCATGTGAACATCATGCAAACTTCAGAAATCAGTAAGAAACTATGTTTCATATACAGATTTTATCGCAAACAAGCATTGGCAAAACCATTTATTAAGGGGGTATTATGATAAGTGTGTGGGCAAGTGATGTCAGCTTGATATGATGAACTCACTTAAATTTTGCTTCCATGACATGCAAAAATGAAAAGAAACAAAATAAGTAAAAGTCAACAACTAAGCTACTAACTAGATATCTTAACACATCTTAAAGGGATTTTCAAACCAAGTATCAGATGTGTCAAAACGTTATCAAAGCAAAAAAATTAAGAAATGTCAAAATGAAGAGTAAAAATTTTTTGGAACAGCTCTACCTATAGCAAAGAAATGAGTTGCTTCAGTTTAAGTACTTTACAGCATCAGATCATAAATTTTACAAATTAATATAAGCACACGGAAAGACATTGTATATCCTTCAGTACTGCAATAAAAGAATTCCAAGAGTTATTTACTTTGCAGAACCACAAGCACGACTGCCCAGAATCTAATTCTTTTTCCCAGGGCTTAGGGAAAGGCATATCCACATATATGTTTTGATAGTGCCATAGGTTTTTAGAAAGTCTGTGTTTCTTCATCTTGGAACAGACACACAACATTTGATTTCCAGTAAATGATACACTAATACTCTGACCATACAGTAACTAAAACTTTCATCAAAATATGCCAAAACCCATAAAACCTATAATCTTGATGATGATAATTTTTTCTTCAAACTGCCCCAGGTAAAGCTAAAACCCGAAAGAACCCAAGCATATTTGGTTCTGTTCAACAAAACTACATCCTTTGGTGCCACGTCACCTCCTGAAACCCTTGGCTACAAGAAAGGCACATAACCAAAAGAGTACTGTCATGCATCTGTAATTGCTCACTACAAACTTCCACATCCTCACAAACTACTCATAGTCTTTCGCTGAAACCATATTCAATTTGCAACAACCCACAAATAGATAAGATTCCTCCCCCAAGATTTCTCCTTACAAACTCTATGTCATTAGAACACAATCATGGAATTCCATTAACTGCAATTGAATCAAGAGATGCATTTTGACTGATGTTAACCGGAACAGAAAAGAAAAAGTTAACAGAAATCATCAAAATGTCGAAATCCATCTTGAACCGGTCACACTTAAGTTGGTAATGAAGAAAATGGTCAAGTGAAAGAGCACAGTGGTCGAAACTACCAATTGCAGCTTTTGACTCATTCAAAAGAGCTCACCCACCCACCCTCCCCCCAACAAAAAAAAGAGATGAAAAAAAGGCAGACAATCACAAAGAAGAAAAGGTTCAGATAAAAAAGTGAAGCATACACATGTGAAAAGTTGAAAAATACATATTTATGCTCCCAACTAGATTCTTGTACAAGATAAATAGCTACATCTTCTCTCTGACAGATCAAACCAAACAGTCATCATTTGGTTTTTGAACATGATCTTAATCTGTAACTTGCAGAAAAGGGGGTCAAAGAGGAAACAAGTTCAAGATTACATCCCAAAGTTGATCATAGATAATAAACAAGGGTAAAGCTCTCAACTCAAACTGAACAAAAACAGTTATTATGAAAATTGAAAGCATAAAAATATGGTCAACCAAATGAAACAGAATAAAAGTTATAAGCTGTCAAGTTCAGTAATTTTGCATGCATTCATGATTTTGCAGAATCATACTTGAGCTATTATCTTCTTAATATCCACCTAGTGAGCTCTTCAATATAGATTTAGAGCATCGAAATACTGAAATTCAATAAAATATAAGTGGAGAATAAATGACCTTAGTAACAGGAGCTGAACCACTTCTTGCATCCCAGAGTATGAGGCATGAATCATCACCAACACTGCAAAACTCCTGCGAACTTCATTAGAAAATTTCCACGTCAACGAAAAGTGAATTTGAATGGTTCCACGCTAAAGCTGTCTTATGAGCATATAGAAGCAAGCTTCTTCATATGCTATTCATAGATTGTCTTCCTGAGTAAACTTTTAGCTACAAGTCATCAAATGGTAGATTCACATCATGCCAAAGAAAGAATTACATCAACTCAGAATGCACTAGTTACCTTGAGGGGCAAAACTGAACATCTTCAACAGTATCCTCGTGTCCTTGGAAAACACCTCGAGCATGGACACGAGGACCATCAACACGTTTATCATCAACTCCAAGCTTTGACTGCTTAGTGTTCGCAGCTCCAGATCCTGGAGATTTTGTAGCACTTTGATCAGCTGCCAAAGAGGAGATATGGTCATGAATGCTCCATAAAACAACTGACTTGTCTTTCCCTGCCAGAAGATTTTTGCAGAATCAGCATATACAAGCTCATAAATATCTTCTGTAGACCAAATACCATACTCAGAAGACAAAAAAAGGAAGAGAAGGAATAAGAAAGTTAAAGAACTGGAGCATATATTTATCAGTTTGCATTCCATCAGGTCTCATTAATTATCTCAAGCAACAAATTCATAAGAAAATATTAGTTTTCTAAAATAGGAAAGCATTAGAGTATTAATCATTGAACCTCCAGAGAGGACAAAAGGCTCTGTCTGACACATGGCAAGTGCAAATTCTGCATTGTCCTGATGGCCAGTGAGTATCTGAAAAGTAAGGATTATCAACTTTCAGCACCTAAAAGGGTAGCAACTCACTACACTATCTACTAAAAAATAAAACCTAATGTAGTTATATTAAAACCAAATGTTACCAAATCGATTAAGCTTTGCTCATCAATAGCAACTTTAAAAGCCCTATCGATGTATAAGGATTGACAAAAACTGATAACACAAGAAAAACTACCGGGGAGAAAAACTAAATTTTGTTTTCTGTACCAAGTCCGGACGAGATTCTGAGGCTCCCAAGACAGCATGACGATTAGGCTGAGACTCAACATCCCAAATGAGAACCTAGATGAAAATTTTATTAACTTTGACCAGTCAATCTTCAAAATATTAAAGACTATCAACACAAAGGAAAAGAAGAAAATTACAGCTGCAATAGATAAATCAAGGGCTTACATCAGGACTATCAGTATGTGTGGCCACAATCTTACTGTTCTGTGGTAACTCCCTAATTCGGTTTACCTTCAATAAATTCATAAGATGTTATCACATTTAGCACAAAATCAATAACTGAGTATTCCCAACTGAACTTATATGGGAACAGCAGGGCACATCTACACTCATAGAAATCAAATTTCAATTAACCAGTAGGTGAAAGCATGTACAGCAATGGGAGGGCAAGCAAAAGTTGTTCAACAGGACTGCAGTTTATACAAAATTTCAATTTCCACTTAGCAAGGACAAAGGATATCTGAAATTTCATACAATCTTCAATTTGAACAGCATTACTTTGCAACTTTTACATACCCCAAAAGCTTAAATTTTAAAAATACGACATACATGTGATATATAATATGCCACTAAAGTACTTAAACATATCATATCTAAAATGGGAAGTTACATACTATTTCTTCAGTTGTGCTGAATACATCGCTTCTCTGGACGAGAAAGCACAACAAAATCTTCAATCTTAATTCAGACTCTTAGAACTGATCCCAGATGCCAATTAGAAATCATAGTAAAGAAAAGCTAAAAAATATTACACAGTTTTGGAAAGTAATTAAAGGAAACGAAGACATCTTTATCCTCAGTTCAACCCTCCATATAGAAAAACAGTCATGCTAGGCAGAATGTGACAACCATAAATTTGCCAACAAGATACAAGTATATTAACTTGGGTACATGTACCACAAACACATATGATGAGGTACCATAAATGAAATGGTAATAAGGCAGGGGAGAAATAAGAATATGCATCATGAGAACAGCTAAAGATATAAGTACCTCTCCAGGATGTATGATGGTCTTGAACTTCTTTACAAATGGTGAACGTGCTTCTTCATTAAACTGAAAGAATCACAATGGAGTAGCAGAAAAGATCAATGATGCAAATTTAGTATAAAAACCAGAGTGCAAATGGAAAAATGCTTCAAAGGAATAAACAAGAAGCAGAAGTAGAAATGACTAGAGGAAGACACATCTTTGTATCAGCACATCACCCACCTGTGATATGTGTTCAGCTGCTGCTACCCGAGGCTTTACAACTTCACAGTTTGCAATGACAAGTGTATTTGGAACACTACCGTCAGTCTGGAAGGAGAGCAAGAAAAGAGTACATCAGTATTGGAAGTAAAACAAAAAACAAGACATCATTATTCTAAGCCCGATGTTTATCTTCATTCAACAAACTACAAATTCAACATCATTGTCCCACATCAACAATGCCATTAACTTCATAAATAAGGAACCAACAGTTGCTATTGTCCCAGAATCTACACATAAATCAAGCAAATGGCTCTCCCTCCCACCCTCTGAAACTTTCTTTGCAGTCTGTAGCTCTAAGCATGTCTTGGTACAAGATGAATGGTTTATCAACAGGCCCAGCACAGACATTCACAAATATCATCTAATTAATACTTGAAAGCATGCTACAATGCTATCCAACATGCCTAATGAACTCTCAACACTTTTATGTCCCCTGTCAACACTCATTGATGTCACCGTCAAAGTGATTTGTTCACTCCCTAGTGCTTATATGGGATTGATAACAAAGTAAATGAAAAGCTAAAGTTTATGACAGACAAAATTCTGAATGCAGCTATTGCAACCCCAAAGTTGAAACATGTGGTGCAGAACACATAATGCTTTTAATGGTTCATAGAATAGATTTTCATGGGACAAAAACAACATTTGGCCATTCTTTGCTACTACGCTATCAAAATCTATCATGAAATGTCAAAAACTGAAAACAGATTGTCTTGCCTGTTCAGAAAGGTAGAGACGTTGCCGATTCTTGTAGGTTGCTTGCTCCAGTTGTGGCCCCCACCTGTATGATGGAGAGAGAGAATGTAAAGATGTTTTGCATTTAACAAGAATCAACGACTTGCAACCAATGAAAGAAAAAATGCCAATTAAAAAAAAGTATTGGCTACTGAAAGCATCAACCTACGGTGACAAACAAAATTATGAAATTTTTTCACAACAAAAGATGGCAAACAATGGAACTGCATTGAAACACTAAAGATCCTAGCAAAACCTATAGGTAAAATGTACAAGGAGAAAAGAAGTGGATCGTGCAGACCGGCAAGATTGTGATGGCCATCTCAAGGAATGGTGAGTGAACCAATCATAAAGAACAAGAACGAATTCGCACAGTTTTTCATAATGATCTTTTACAGAAAATGGTTTAAGCTTTCCCTTCGAGCCATCAATCTCTTTTGTCCCTTTCCCATTCTCCATCACTCTTACACTGCTTCACTTGCTCTAAAATTTGGTGAATTTAGTTTCTCCATTTCTCACCCTTCACACACAATATATAAAGAGCAAAAACAAACAAAAATACGTCCCTCTGAAGCCTGACATTTATGATACCATAAACTGAAAATCTAATGCAGGGCCCAACACTTTATGGCAATAAATCTATACCAAGAAAACACCAAAATATCCAATACTCCTAAGGTAGGAAAATATAAAACAAAGGAAATAACATAACCGTGTAGGGCCCAAAATAATAAATGTACAACCATAAAAGAAGATACACTGTGTGAGGCCCCCGTACACCCGTCCCACATCAAGACGGAGAAGGAAAAGGAAAGGAAATATAACATCCATCCTATCGGATTACTAATAGCTTTGGGTTAACCATTTTGAACTCGTGGTTTCAGCTCAAAAAATTATTGGGCTAGCCCGTTGGGCGTGGAGCATTACAAATGGTATTAGAGCAAACCTCGCGTGATCTCTGCGTGGGCTGAGCCTGGGGCCAAGTGGTGTTATGTTTCCGACTATGCAAGGAAGTGCAAGGAGCTATGTGTTGTGCAAGGCCAAGTGCCACATTTGATGGGAGACACCTCTAGAACCTACGAGATTAAGTGCCACGTGGGGCGGGGCCATCTCTAGAGCCCACGCACGACTTGGTGGACAGTGTGGATTCTAACAAGTTTTGCGAGGACGCAAAGTCCTTAAGTGGGAGTGAGTGTAAGGCCTCCATACATCTGTTCCATATCGGGATAGAGAAGTAAAAGGAAAGGAAATATAATGTCCAACCTGTCGCATTACTAATAACTTTGGGTTAATCATTTTGAGCCAGTGGTTTCAGTTCAAAAAGTTACTGGGCTAGCCTATTAGGCACAGGGCATTACACTATGACAAATCAAAATACAATCACATAATACCAGCGTCATAAAACTAGGGTCCAATCCTGAGGACAATGAACAAAAATTAATGACTCAATATAAGTAGTGTTAAAAACCTGAAAAGAAGATCAATGACACAAATTTCATGACAAAAGACATAGCAAGAACATGCTGAATCAAGCTTTATTGCAAAGAACCAAATTTATGATGAAAGATGAAGAGATGTTATGAGAAACCACAGAACAGTAACATTCTAAACGATTAGAGTGGATCAAACCATCACAGTAACAGGAAAAAGACACAAGTCACGGAATTCTTGAATACCCTAAACTGACCAGATTAAAGCCAAGAGGGTTTTCTAGCCACAAATTGACCTCATTATCCCTGTAACCTGAATCTGCAAATAAAGCAACGTAAAAAGAACTTCAAAGGTGGGAAAAACAGCTAATTACCTAATTGTCCTTACCAAAAGTACTTAAAGACCAGAATGAAACAGCTTCTCCAATCTCCTATTTGACTTCTTTATGTATCTTGAACTATTCTAGACCCAGAAATTGGGATAAAACAGCATGTCTGTCGCATACGTTAGACAGCACAACAGTATATGCAAAGAGAATTAAGAGTACTAGAGATTGACTGTTTAAGAAAAGAAAGACGGTTTCCACAAATACTATGAAATTCATCATTATGGCCACTGAAGTCAAAAGCTCAACAAGAGGGAGCTTAAGCGCAAAGCTAAAAGCAAAATTGCAAGTCATTAGGCCTCCTAGCACTTGAAATGCAACACACTTGAAAAAAAGCATTGTAGCCTTCACTACGATAGAAAAAGACAAGGATTTAGAAGTACCTATTTTCTGGTTCCTTCAACTATATTTTAAAAAATTTTGATATATTTGGATTTCAACTTGGGCTATTGATATTCATGCTAATGCGATAAAAGCATGGAATACCATTAGTTTCGGGGTGATGTACAATCATTCTATTTTTCCAAATAATTGCAAGATATAATCAGAATTCGAATGAATGATGGGTGATGTGTATTTAAACTATTGCTACAAATAATGCAAGATATGGTGAAAACTAGATGACTGGTATGAACATGCTTTTCATCTCAATCAACTTTGCACTTGGGAGTATTGGATTAACAATTCTATGCAACTTATGCACCATCGTCTACCAGACAAACAACTAGATACTTAATTTCATCCTACTAGAAAATTACAATAAATCCCCAGAAGCAGAGCAGAATCAGCTCCAGCAGACACACTTAAAATGCCCTTTCCGTTCCCTTATCACACCATGTCTAAACTCTCATGGTAAACTGCATAAATGCTGTCCATTTTCACTAACTGCACAAGGACTCCGTTGCATACGGCAGGTGAAATGTGTGTTTCTAACAGATCTCAAGCATCAGTAATCAACAGACAAAACCAGGAACTCCAAGCTAATGCCCGTCCTAATAGCCTTCCACGAAAAGGACACCAAAATGGAATTTACAAGAACATTAATAGTTATGAGCCTCACAATGTGGTTAACATTTTTCCGTCCTAGTTAAATCCACATAAAAAATAAAGTACAAACCATTGGCGTCCCTCGAGCACTATAGCTATAAATATCAAGTTTAACTCAATGCCCACCTTTTTCAGCCTAATACTTATGAATACAATTAAGTATAGAACAAAAATTAACTTATAATTCACATAAACCAACAAAAGTTGAGAAATATATGAAAGATTAAAAACTACATTAACCAGAAATGGAACCCTAGAAAGATAATCAAGATATAGAGCATGTTTCTTTGGACGGACCGGCAAGAGAGGGAGGGCCAAACAAGGTTATGATTGGCAAGCCAATCGTAGAGAACAGGGACGAGTGATTTCCATTGAGTGTAACGCTCATCCACCGACGGCTGTGCTCCTCCTCCTCCTCCTCCTCCGCCCTTTCCTCCTACTCTGCCTTCCTTCATTGTTAGCGCTTTCTCTTTCTCACGCACCTTCACCCCCACTTATAGTCTTAATACCAGTCTATGTACAGTGACTCCAGTGTGCGTAATGTGGGTTTTTCTTACACTTTTCGCCTGTGCTCATTTTTGTTTTCCCGCCTCGGGGCCATGCTGTGTTGTACGCCAACGACTCTCTGGATTCGGCCGCTTTCCAGTCGGGAGCCAATTTTTACCCTCTTTTTTTTTATTTATTAAGATTTTGAAACGCCCAAAGAAACATTATTTTTGCCCCTTTTTCCTTTTCCTCTCTTAGAAGTGAGATTGGATTGTCACCCGTCCATTAATTTTCTAAGTGGGGTGTTTTAGATAGCAGATTGGATTCCTTTACTGTAATTTTTGGTTTTATACCTAGTCATGATTTCATAGCTTTATGTGGTATTTTAGGTTGGTTATCGATAATAAAAAGTTCCACAATGATATGAAAAATTCAAAACAAGTCTACAATAACATTCTCATGGGTTAGGATTTTGTTCATCGAATTTTTCTCCATTTATTTAGATCTAAATATTTTATAATTTTATAGAATCATTCGATTGCATCGTTACCTTTTTCTTATCCATATATCAAATATACTAAAAATTGATATTCTTTTAGAAATATTTTAGTGCTGAATTTACATGAAACATTTGAACGGTAAAAATCAGCTAAATTTGTAACAAAATTTATATATAATTAACTCAAGTGAATTTTAAATACAGTGTTGATTTTGAAAATAGTTGCCAAATTGATTTTATTAGGTGACTCCAAATTCATTTTATTAGGCGACTCAAAGAGAGTCACCTAGTTCCCTTCCCATTAATACGGACATGACATGTGCCACTATGATTTTTCCATTCTATTCATGCATGACACCTTTTTTGTGAGCTTGCAGGTGTGTTTGGATTACACGTTTTATTTCTACTTTATTATTTACCCACACTGACTTGCTTGCATCGTGAATATATTTTTCAATCACCTTTTTATCTCGCATATATGATATTAAAAAAATGCTATACAATATTTCTTCACAAACTTATCTCAAATAATTTACTATCAAACACACTCGAATGTGAAGACCCCAAATCCTAACTCCAAAATAGGGATAATGGCGAGTTGAATCAAGTTTGAGTAGCACTGTATTCGAGCTCAAACTTGATGAATTTTCAAACTACTCGAGTTTGACTCGATCGAGCAAGAGAACTAGTAGCTCGACTGGACTCGATACGATTAGATCCTGCTCTCAAGCCTCATCGAGTTCGAGTCCTCGAACAAAAAAACTCAAAGTTTGTTAAAACATAAATTTATAATGGTTATTTCGTAATTAAAATAAATATATTACATTAATGATAGAACTATTCAATTAGGCTTGTCTAACACTCAAGCAGCACATTAGGAAGCTCAAACTTGACTTGAGACCTAAAATGAGTAGTTCTAACTCGAAGTCGACCAAGTTCGAGTCGAATGTTTGACTGCTCGCAAACGGCTTGGCTCACCGGCATCCTACTCCAAAGTCAATGATACAAAAGCGTAAGAGCTATGGAACAGGTTCTTGTTTATGGCCCTTCGATTGGCAGATGGATCTTTCACAGCCCATAAAAGGCAAGGGACCTGTAGGATTCGATTTAAAATCTCTCAGCCAACCGGTTAGGTTACATCATATATATCTATCACAAAAAATCCCTAGCGTCAAAATATATCTAAATATATCTTATCTGATATGAAAAAAGAAAAGCAACAATTTACAGCACTCTTTTGGCTCCAGGGAACCATAAGAAGATAAATCAAAGAAAAGAATCAAAACCGGACATCATGGTTAGAGAGAGAACCGCAAAAAGCGTATGCCAAAATATAGTTTTGCTTTATGCAGGACGGATTAGCTTCCTAGCTTAAAATTGGGATTTCATTTTAACCTCAATTGAAATAACCACAGAGAAGCACCGGCAGCTATTAAAAAATAAAATAAAAAGAAAACAAACCTGCAGCAGTGGATTACACGTAGTTAAAAGTGAAACAATAAAGTAGTTAGCAAAAACGTTGTCCTGAAATTGAGCAGGATCGACTTTTGCCATTCCTCTGCCTGCATGTAGAAGAATCTCAACGTTAGCATCAACCTGCTGAAACGAAACAATGGTTGAAATATGAGAATAGAGACCAACCAAAAGGCATCTTTCTTTTCTTGCGCTAATAACTCTTCAAATGAAATATCCGCAAACTCATCATCTGTTCTCTCCACTTGCTCGCGATGTTTGTCTTCCGCTTCCATGCGGGCACCAATTTCAAGTAGCTTCAATACAAACGTCCAGGAAGAGATGGTTAGGTCTTCAACAAAAAAAAGCATGAAGAGCCATTAATATGACCAAGCAACAAAAGAGGCTGATGCACATGCTCAATAAAGGAACAAAAATTTTCAGAGCCAAGCATCTCTGTACAATTGTTTTTCTTGATCATATGATATTCTTGCTCAACTATTGACTTTAGTGCGAAAAATTGGTTGTTTCTAGTGCTCCTGCATCCTGGACCTGTGGGTTCTCCTCAATCTGGCATACCCAACATATACATCAGTTTCATACGGTTCTGGAAGAAAACTTTTGAAAGATATTGTGAGACCAGATCAGCTCCTTTTGTTGTAATTTGGGACTAGTCATAATCTCCAGCATAGATTGATTGCCGCGTAATAGTTTTAGTTGGGGTCTTTGTGACTTGTTTCATCCTTGATCATGATATTCTGATTCTTAACTTCTGGCTCCAACTGAAATAGTATAGGCTCTCTTGCTGCCTTCTTCATAGTTAAGATTTTGCAGACGGATATATGTAAGTAATTTTAGCCGCTGAAAACCTTCAAGGCAATAATGGCTTTGTAGTCTGATTTTTGCTTCAGATTTCAAAAACCGATTTATGGTTGTTGGAGAGAATTATTCTTTGTACTCTGATTTGTGGCAACTTGATTATCTCTGTGCAAGTTTGAGCCAAGATCAAAATATTAACATACCTTCTTGTAAGCTGAGGAGACCTTCAATTGTTGTTGGAGCCAATTATATACAACAGCATCCTCTTCCAATCGTCTTTGCTCTAACTCTAGCTTGTAAATCTTCATAAACCCAAGGATACATTGCATTAGCAACATGAAAAGATGAAAAAGGTATTTCTCAGACATGAGAAATCACTCCAAGCACGAACCTGTTGATGCAAGCGGTCAAATGAAGACCTGTCAGCCTTCAGCAGTAAAGCCTTTGTAATCGTAAATTTACGTTGGATGACCTCTGATCTGCTCATAAGATTGAAGCAGCCATTCAAGAGTCAATAATTTTATATCTTTGTATCAAGTGCATTTACAACATAAAACTTGTTCTCAAACTCTCTACATTTTTTAATGAACCTAGAGATCTGAAGCTCGCCATAGCATAAATGAACTCTTTTTCTTTAGTATCAGACTATCAGAAAATTGGGGGTAAACTGCTGCTATCAGATTGTCTCACAGCGTTGGGGATCCTTGTCCTTTGTCCTTTGTATTGTAAAATTTACTGATCCTTATTAACCCTAGCAGAAAAAAAAAAGACTAGAAAACACACATTTATAGATACAAGAGTAGAAGTTTGGGCAAAACAAATCTAGTGATCCGCAGGTTGTTACTTGATTCAAACTTCAAAACAAAGTACCTATGTTTTAGCTCTTTCTTTGCCTCAACCAAGCAATTAACAAACTGCCCAACCTGCATAACATAATAATAAAGCAAATCTTAATTAGTTCAAATAGCTGAGACCTGTGAGCAACTCATGTATAGAAGGAAAAGAGGTACTTGAGGAAACAAAGATAACTTTCACATTGTGGTAATTTACGTCAGAGTAGAGTATTATGCTAATAAAACATGAAAAGCCGCGACCACGCAATTTTATGGAATTTGCACTGTGTTAATTATGGAATTTGCACTGTGTTAATTGAGCACCATGCATTTTTACCAATGGATGCTGCATGCTTCTACCTGCAAAATACTCACAACTTGTTCTAATGTGACACCCAAGGCAGCTAATGCTACCATATGATGCAAGGTGGATATAATTGAGGTGGGCTACACAGACATAATGAAGTTGTTGTGAAGCTTTAAAACCAATAAAGTTGACATACATTCAAGCAATTGTATGTTTATTACTACATTAAAACCGGCTTAGGGCTTCAATGAACCACCCCGACAATAAATCATGACGGCCTGAGTATTAATTCCAAAAACTTTTAGCTTTACCTCCTCATAATGGTTTAGAAAGCGCAACAGAAGCATGCTAGAAAATCAGATTGCTAGCTCCTAGCTCGTGATAATGATCAACCAAGAAAGTCACGTATTTGTTTAAATTAAATACATTCACCAACCCCAAAACGGAGTTCCAAGTTCAGTAAAGCCAAAACAAATATTCCTCAGCCATTGGGTTTCATTGACATTTTAGAGAAAGATGCATACAACAGTTCAATAACGGTCACTTCGTTCACATAATGTAGAAAGAGACAAAATTATTCATCAGCAATGCAATGTGATAAAGTTTAATTCCATACAATGGGGAAGATACATCAGTCTGGAAAAAGAAATGACCAATCTTTCTTCGTGAGTATTCACAACAAGACTGAATTAGTGGCGAGCTGAAATTCATTTAAAAAAAAAGAAAAGAAAAGAAAACCTGAGCAAGAGTCAAGGCGTTGGATTCATGGGACTTGGCAAGCTGGTCATAGTTTTGCTTGAGCTTCCTCTGAACTGCGCTAGACGAGGTCGTAAATGGATACAAACAAACCAGCTCTTCTTTCTTGTTATCCTTCTTCCTGTCGTGTTCCCCAGCTCCTCCACACGCACTACTAGGGTCGGGTCTCTTCTTCTTGGCCCGTTTCTTCCTCTTCTTCTTTGTCTCCTCCTCCTCCTCCTCCTCCTCTTCCTCATCTTCATCCCCAACCCGGCCTCCGTCGAGCACAGACCCATTTTTATTATCCGGGCCCTCATCTTTAAACGGCTCATCCCATTTGGGTGAATCAGGAGGCAATAGCCCACGGAGAATCGAAGGGGTCAGCCCGGTCGAGACGGATCCAATTGCCCGCTTTCCTCCCACCTGGGCTTTATCGTCGGAGCATCTATTTCTGTCCTCGTCATTCTTGTGTAAAGAAGAACATTGTTGGGTTTGTTTCTTACGAAGGATTGATGGTATGGGGTGAGTGGATTTTCTAGAGACA